ACGTGCTGTGCCAGCCTTGGCCTGGCCACCCCCCCCCTCCACCCCAGAGCAGCCCTTCAGTGCTGCCTCAAGCTGCGTGGGTTGTTCCTGCACAGCAGCAGAACCCAGCGCCATCGGAGCACAGGGAAGGACAAACAGCTGCCCGTGGCCCCAGCCCCGCACGGGGCAAGGTGCTCTGTTGGGGTCAGACACACACAGCATTTGTCCAGCAACAAGTGTATTGGACCCTGGTATCGGGGCCTGGCCCAGGGCCCAACAGGAGCCTTGAGCCTCAGGAGCTCCCTGCCAGCATGGAGCAACCTTCAATAAACGGCTTTGAGGGAAGCGAGGTTGGTGCCTGGCTTTGTGGTGCCCTGGTGCTGCCTCCCCCGGCGCTCCCCAGCCCAGCTTGCAGGGTGCCACAGGCATCCTGCTGGTGCGGACATGGCAAGTGCACCCATCTCCCACGCTGGGCACAGCCGTGGGGTGCATGTAGCCAAACCCTCAAAATGTGGCAGCAGGAGGGGGAAGCACCTGCGTGGGGCTGAGGCGTGCCCTGACTCCCTGCCTGACCGTCAGGCAGCCCCTCGCCCTGTCTTTCCCCTTGTGGATCATTGTCCTGGTGCCTGTCACACCGTGGCACGGCTCTTCAGTGGTGGCTCAGATCTGGCTGAGAGGAGGGAGGTGCAGGGTCGCCAGTGCACTGTGGAACATGTCCCTCACTGCTCCCAGCAGTCGGAGGCGGGCAAACATCTGGTCAAAGAGGTGAGGGAGCGGCTCCTGTGGGGAGAAAGGCAGCAACTTGGGGCTGGTGGCCATATTGCCCCTCGATGGGCTGGCCCTAGAGGCACTGCTGCCTCTGCACCCTGTGTATGTATCCTTGAGGGGCTGGTGCGGGGCTGCATCACACTGCTGGCACCTCGGAGCCTGTTCCCCACATGGCTGCCCCACAGCTGCAGTCCAGCCCCGGGAAGGACTGCAGGGCCGCAAGCCTGCAGGCCCAGGACATCCAACTCACCCCCAGGACGTGGACCCGGTTGTAGTAGGAGCTGAAATCCATGCTGAGCTGGATCAGGAACTTGCACACCTGTAAGACAGACAGCTTCTGCTGGCACGGCAGGGTCTGGCCGGTCTTGGGCCCTTCCCCACCTCAAGCACAGCAGGAGCAGCCCCAGGGGTGTTGCAGTCTCTTCCCTCGGCACCACCCCTGCGTCGCTCACCACCGGTGGGCAGCACCCTGCCGGCACGCAGCCTTGCCCTGAGCCGGGACTGCTGGAGCAGCACCCATGGGTGCTCTGGCACATGGCTCTTACTATCTCTGTGTTGGCTGTGATCCGGATCCCTTTGCTGGGTGGGGGCAGCTGTGCTGCCTGCTGCAGGACTTCAGGGAAGGGCAGGAGATAGTTGAAGAGCAGGAGCCACTCACCCTGTGAAAAGATTATGTGTGTCAGAGAGGACCAGATCCTCCTGGGCCAGCAGCATCCACCACCAGAGCTGAGGGCGCACAGGTCCCCACATTCCCCTTCTCAGCACTCACCTCTTCCCGGAGGCAGGAGAAGTTCAGTTCTGACGCTGGCAGCAGAGGTGGGTACGTGCCTGGAAAGGAGGTGAGAGACTGTTGTTGTGCCCAGAGAAGCCCCTGTGGCTCCAGGCGTGAGGAACAGCCCAGGAGTGGCTGTTAGAGGAGGGTTGTGGGGCTGGTGCTCACCCCGCTCCACAGCCTGCTGGTAGGTGTCGAAGAGTGTAGCCAGGCGGGCACAGTTGTACATCACGAAGGCACCGCTCTTGGTTCCCTTTGTGGAGATGCTGCTGTCCTCCAGGTCCAGGGTGATCTGAGGGCAGGGAGAAGTCGCAGTCCAGGCTGCTCGGCACAGAGCTGCTCTGGTATTCCCACAGCTTGCCAGCCCCCGCTCTGCACAAACTGTTCTCCTACCTGACTCCGGTGAGCGGTGCTCAGCATCTCAAACCTGATGGCAGCCACTGTGAGGGTATCAATCACCTCAGTCCAGGCCTCATCTGTGGAGAACACAGGTGGCATCACGCACAGCTTGCTCCATTCCCATGTAATGTCACCCCCAGCGCCCAGGCAGGAACCCCCAATGGGGCCAGGGGGCTCCGGTGGAAGCTGGGGACCATCGCGCGTCCCCAGCCCTGGCCCCCCTCTGCAGGTGCTGCTCTGTGCCGGTGCCCCACGTGGCGTTTTAGACGCCTTCCCCCAAGCAAGGTCAGCACCTGGCTCCATCGCGGAGGGGAGAGGGAGCACCGTGCGGGGGAGAGCCCCACTGGCTGCAGACACAGAGGTGAGCGGGGAGACTCATGGGAGCAGCGGAGATGGGGAGGGAGCAGCATCCGTGTAGAGCCACAAAGCAAACCCTCACCTTGCGCAAGCTCCCCATACTTCATCACGGAAGCTTTGTACATCTGGCGCTTTCGGAGCCTGGGAGGAACACAGACACAGCCACCACCCCTAGACTGAGCTGGCCCCAGAGAGCGTCCCAGGGCTCCCCCAGCCTTTGGGCTGCTTGGGGCATCCCAGCTGCAGCAGCAACCCAGCCAAGCAAAAGCGGTACAAAATCTCCAGGAGCTGGGCAGGGACAGCCACACCGCGGCCAGCCCCTTGTGCCACTGCCTGGAGAGGGCCACAAGGAAGCCACTACGCCAGGCACAAGCTCTGCCTTTTGTCTGCGAAAGGGCCACCCCTGCGCCAGGGCTAATGCCTGAAGGCAGGGAGATACTACCCTGCACCTCTGCGGTGCCCAGCTCCTGCCACTGCCTTTCCTCCCAGCAGCCCCCTGGCAGCACTGGAAGAGGCCACTGGGACTGGGGAAAGCCCTGTGCCTTCTGTTCTGCACCTCCAGTCCTCTCAAAACAGCCCTGAAGCCATGGAAAAGCAGAATGGAGGGACTGCACAGAACTCTCTGTGCGCCACCAGCTCGCTCAGCGCTGCAGTGTGGCTGCCTGGGTGCCCACAGGGGCGGGCAGAGCACAGGGAGCCTTGGCAGGCGAGCAGCGCAGCAGGCGCCTTGCTACACACCAACTTACTGGAAGTACTGGTCTGCCCCGATGGGCGATGAGGGGTTTGTCACCTTCACTGGCCCACAGACAAGGTGTTTCTGAAAGAGAGAGGAGTGGCCGGGGCTGGGGTCAAAGACTCGGAAGCTCCACAAAAATGCAGTGCAGGAGAACCAGGCTAAAACTAGCCCTGTTCTAGCTGTGTCCCCACAGTCTTCTCCTGCCCCTCCTTCTTTAGCGCTGAAATCCCAAGAGCAGAGAGGCTGCTCCACTGCCTAGGCAAGAGCGTGGAGGGGCCGCCAAGGGAAAGGGAAGCCTCACAAGGGGGCAAGGCTAGGCCTCAGCATTCGCTGCAGAGATTGAAGGAGGGTGGCTGAGCGCAAGGGTGCTGGGGGGCCACAGTGAGGAGGGTCGGAGGTTCCTCACTTGCAAAGCTGTGTGGGCTCCTGGATCCAAAATCTTCCAGAGCAGATCCAGCTGCTGCTGCTGGAATTCCTCCTCACAGCTCACCACATGCACGATGCTGCAGCAGCTCCCCTGGCCTCCAGCCTGCAGCAGAGCACAGCAGGGAGCTCAAATGCTATCGCGTGACAGAAGGAAACAATATCTGGAAAGCAAGAGGCAGGCAGCGCCGCAGGGTTACTCACCGTGCACTGCAGAACGGCTTGCTGCAGCTCAGCCAGTGACCGCAGCTTCCCCTCTGTCACTGAAAGAAGGAAGGACACTCAGAGCGGGACACGAGGGTTCGCCATCTCCCCCCACCATCCTGCACCATCGGGTCTGCCCCAGGCTGCCTGCGTTTCTGGCCCAAACCAGACTGAAGGGGAAATAAGAGGAGAAGGCTCTAAAACCCCCGTATTTTCTGTAAAAACAATTGGGAAAAAAGGAAACAGGCCTGTTTGCAGCCGTTCGCTGCCCCGCTGTCACACTAGAGCTGCTGTACACGTGAGGCTCACCGACAAGGACATCTAGGTTGGGGTCGTAGCCCACCAAGCCCTGCTGCTCCATGAAGCTCTTCAAGTGCACTTTACAGATGACATCCTCGGGCAGCGCGGCTGTGCCCGGCCCCTGCTCACAGGCTGCGGCACAGGGGGACCGGCCCAGCGCTCGCTTCAAGGCCGAGACGGCATCAGAGAGGGCCGAGCCACCGGAGCCAGAGGGCCAGTCGACGCGGAGGCAGGACCTCCCGGCTCCCCTCCCC